TACAACAATACATAGAACAAGTTATACAATACACTACTGGGTACATAATACAGCAATACATAGAACAAGTTATACAATGCACTACTGGGTACATAATACACAATATTACATAGAACAAGTTATACAATGCACTACTGAATTACATAATACAGCAATACATAGAACAAGTTATACTGACACTACTGGGTACATAATACAAGCAATACATAGAACGATTATACGTACACTACTGGGTACATAATACAACAATACATAGAACAAGTTATACAATACCACACTACTGAATTACATATTTCAACAATACATAGAACAAGTTATACAATGCACTACTGGGCATAGCTTCTGTAACCCACATAGAACAAGTTATACAATGCACTACTGGGTATAATACAACAATACATAGAACAAGTTACACATTACACTACTGGGTACACATAATACAACAATGCATAGAACAAGTTATACAATGCACTACTGGGTACATAATACCAACCAATACATAGAACAAGTATACAATGCACTACTTGGGTACATCATGCAACAATACATAGAACAAGTTATACAATGCACTACTGGGTACATAATACAGCAATACATAGAACAAGTTATACAATGCACTACTGGGTACATCATGCAACAATACATAGAACAAGTTATACAATGCACTACTGAATTTTTATAATACAGCAATACATAGAACAGGATTATACAATACACTATAGGTATATTACAGCAGTACATAGAACAAGTTATACAATACACTACTGGGTACATAATGCAACAATACATAGAACAAGTTATACAATGCACTACTGGAGTACACATAATACAGCAATACATAGAACAAATTATACATTACACTACTGGGTACATATGCAGCAATACATAGAATATAGGATTATACAATGCACTACTGGGTACATAATACAACAATACATAGAACAAGTTATACAATGCATACTGAATTTATAATACAGCAATACATAGAACAAGTTATACAATGCACTACTGGAGTACATAATACAACAATACATAGAACAAGTTATACAATACTACTGGGTATAATACAACAATACATATAGAACAAATTTATACAATACACTACTGGGGTACATAATACAGCAATACATAGAACAAGTTATACAATACTACTGGGTACATCATACAACAATACATAGAACAAGTTATACAATACACTACTGGGTACATAATACAACAATACATAGAACAAGTTATACAATGCACTACTAGGTGCATAATACAACAATACATAAGATATATTTTACTGGGTACATAATACAGCAATACATAGAAAAAGTTATACAATACACTACTGGGTACATAATACAACGTATAGGAGCAATTTATACAATACTTCTGGGTACATAATACATATACATAGAACAAGTTATACAATACACTACTGGAGTACATAATACAGCAATACATAGAACAAGTTATACAATGCACTACTGGAGTACATAATACAACAATACATAGAACAAGTTATACAATGCACTATTGGAGTACATAATACAACAATACATAGAACAAGTTATACAATGCACTACTGGAGTACATAATACAACAATACATAGAACAAGTTATACAATGCACTACTGAGTACATAATATAACATATAGAATGGTTATACAATGCACTACTGGAAGTACATAATACAGCAATACATAGAACAAGTTATATACTACACTACTGGAGTATACAGCAATACATAGAACAAGTTATACAATGTAATTACTGAGTACATAATACAACAATACATAGAACAAGTTATACAATGCACTACTGAGCATATAATACAGTAATACATAGAAATCAAGTTATACAATGCACCTACTGGAGTATATAATACAAATAATACATTAGAAATCAAAGCTATACAATGCACTACTGGGAGTACATACACAACACACATAGAACAAGTTATACAATGCACTACTGGAGTACATCATACAACAATACATAGAACAAGTTATACAATACACTACTGGAGTACATAATACAACAATACATAGAACAAGTTATACAATGCACTACTGGAGTACATAATACAACAATACATAGAACAAGTTATACAATGCACTACTGGAGTACATAATACAGCAATACATAGAAAAAGTTATACAATACACTACTGGAGTACATAATACAACAATACATAGAACAAGTTATACAATGCACTACTGGAGTACATAATACAACAATACATAGAACAAGTTATACAATACACTACTGGAGTACATAATACAGCAATACATAGAACAAGTTATACAATGCACTACTGGAGTACATAATACAACAATACATAGAACAAGTTATACAATGCACTACTGGAGTATATACAACATACATAGAACAAGTTATACAATGCACATAGAACAAGTTATACAATGGAGTACATAGTACAGTATATACAACAATATATAGAACTAAGTTATACAATACACTACTGGAGTACATAATACACAATACATAGAACTAAGTTATATAATGCACTACTGGAGTACATAATACAACAATACATAGAACAAGTTATACAATACACTACTGGAGTACATAATACAACAATACATAGAACAAGTTATACAATGCACTACTGGAGTACATAATACAACAATACATAGAACAAGTTATACAATGCACTACTGGAGTACATAATACAACAATACATAGAACAAGTTATACAATGCACTACTGGAGTACATAATACAACAATACATAGAACAAGTTATACAATGCACTACTGGAGTACATAATACAGCAATACATAGAACAAGTTATACAATGCACTACTGGAGTACATAATACAGCAATACATAGAACAAGTTATACAATACACTACTGGAGTACATAATACAAAAATACATAGAACAAGTTATACAATGCACTACTGGAGTACATAATACAACAATACATAGAACAAGTTATACAATGCACTACTGGAGTACATAATACAACAATACATAGAACAAGTTATACAATGCACTACTGGAGTACATAATACAGCAATACATAGAACAAGTTATACAATGCACTACTGGAGTACATAATACAACAATACATAGAACAAGTTATACAATGCACTACTGGAGTAGATAATACAGCAATACATAGAACAAGTTATACAATACACTACTGGAGTACATAATACAACAATACATAGAACAAGTTATTCAATGCACTACTGGAGTACATAATACAACAATACATAGAACAAGTTATACAATGCACTACTGGAGTACATAATACAACAATACATAGAACAAGTTATACAATGCACTACTGGAGTACATAATACAACAATACATAGAACAAGTTATACAATGTACTACTGGAGTACATAATACAACAATACATAGAACAAGTTATACAATGCACTACTGGAGTACATAATACAACAATATATAGAATAAGTATACACAAGTACATAATACAACAATATATAGAACAAGCACTACATAATACAACAATACATAGAACAAGTTATACACTAAGTACACTACATGGAGTACATAATACAACAATACATAGAACAAGCATACAATACACTACTGGAGTACATAATACACAACAATACATAGAACAAGTTATACAATGCACTACTGGAGTAATACATACAATGCACTACTGGAGATACAAGTTATACAATACACACAATACAATACATACAATACACTAGTACATATAATACATACAATACATAGAACAAGTTATACAATGCACTACTGGAGTACATAATACAGCAATACATAGAACAAGTTATACAATGCACTACTGGAGTACATAATACAACAATACATAGAACAAGTTATACAATGCACTACTGGAGTACATAATACAGCAATACATAGAACAAGTTATACAATGCACTACTGGAGTACATAATACAACAATACATAGAACAAGTTATACAATGCACTACTGGAGTACATAATACAACAATACATAGAACAAGTTATACAATACACTACTGGAGTACATAATACAACAATACATAGAACAAGTTATACAATGCACTACTGGAGTACATAATACAGCAATACATAGAACAAGTTATACAATGCACTACTGGAGTACATAATACAACAATACATAGAACAAGTTATACAATGCACTACTGGAGTACATAATACAACAATACATAGAACAAGTTATACAATACACTACTGGAGTACATAATACAACAATACATAGAACAAGTTATACAATGCACTACTGGAGTACATAATACAACAATACATAGAACAAGTTATACAATGCACTACACTACATAGGTTATACAATGTACTGGAGTACATAATACAACAATACATAGAACAAGTTATACAATGCACTACTGGAGTACATAATACAACAATACATAGAACAAGTTATACAATGCACTACTGGAGTACATAATACAACATTACATAGAACAAGTTATACAATGCACTACTGGAGTACACAATACACTGCCAGAGTACATAATACAACAATACACAACATTGAATTTGTTCTCAACATGTACAGTATAGTAGTACCAAATAAGGAGTGTTTATAACAACCAATATTCTAGGCCCCTCATCCTGGAAACTTACATTTTGCTATTTTTTTTTTTTTTTTTAGGAGGGAGGGAAGGGTGGGGGCGTGGGGTCATGAACTTGGCACCAGTATCTCCCACTACTGCAGAAGGTGACAGCAGGTGTGATAAGTACAGTAGAGGGAGAGCTTCTACATTGTGGGAACAAACAGGAACAATATGTTAAGGGGTGAACAGAACAGGGGATGGGATAGGGGGAATATAGAGGACAAAGGTTCTGTCTTCCCTCCTTCAGAGAGCTTTAAGGCACATTGCCTAAGGTCATTAGTACAAAACAACAAGAGTAAATATTGTACTGTAAGGTCTTCAAAATGCTGTTCATAATACAGTACAGTACAGTATATCCAGCTGTTGTTATATTTATTACCTTATCCTATGATGTATTTTATTGTTAACTCAGGTGTGGGAGAGAGAGCGATGCCGGCCCTAGTTGTGTTCCAGCGACGATGGAGGATTGGAAGTGACGATCTGGTCATCCCGGGCATCATAGAAGTGTTACTGCGTGCAGGATGGTGAGTCACACACCTGTTATAGTATAATGAGGCTCTGTTGCTGTTAAGTGAAGTTGTGTGTGATTTATCATGTGTTACTTTTTTTTTTTTTTATTGGGCACCCCCTCCCCCCCCCTACATCCTGTGTAAGGTGAAGCGCAGAAGCGTTTACAGCGCCCAACAGGGAAGCATGCTAAGTTCATGCTTGCCTTTATGTCTCATGAGTTAAGGGTGTAGAAGTCAATGATTTTATGTCATCAAGTTATTGGAAGCTCCAACAACTTGTCCCTGAATACGAATTCGCAACTTTCGATTTACAGCAGGTTTCTACTTTACTGCTAGGTGAACAGGGACCAAGGGAGGCTGGGAAGAGTGTCCGAACAACTTTCCACCGGCCCGGGAATCGAACCCGTGGCATCTCGCTTGCAAGGCAAGAGCGGTACCACTCTACCATCGACGCCCCCCTCATGTGTGTAATTGACCAGTAATGTGTGTGTACTGACTCATCCATTATTGTTACTTGGAGAGAAAACTGTTTCCCATATTCTTATTTCTTGTTCCATTCCTCTGTCTCATACTGTACTGTACTCCCATGATGGATGTGCTACACATTATGTGGTATCACAAAAAAGATACTAGTGTAATCATCTCTAGTATGTAATTAATAAAGCCTTTATTGAACAGGCTGGGGTTGACACTGACCCTCATGGTGCACCACGAATCAGATACTTCCAAGTGTATGAGCGGCAGCCACCTCCTGCGCGTGTATCTCATAGGTAGTTTGGTCATCCTGTGGGTGACGTTACTCATCACCTTGGTGTTGGTGTACTTCAGCAGTAGAGGCACCATCATGAACACGGCCCCTCGTAAACACGTGTCTTCCCTCATTGTTATAAGGTATAGTACTTTACACTTCATTGTTATAAGGTATAGTACTTTACACTTTTTTTTTTTTTTTAAACATGGCCTCCAGCCTCCCCCAATAGCCACACCTTCGCCACCATTTAATTACCTTAATATTAAATATCCTAATACATAAGAAGCTATCCTATCTGTTTTAAATTAGTTGAGCCGCAGATCTATGCGGCATTCAGTGACAGTAGCCTCATAGTCAATATCTGCAGCAGTTGTCGGAGTTGAGGCAGAAGCTCTCGTTCCCCTGAGGCAGAGCAAAGCCGACCGAAGGAGAGAGAAAGACAGTCGACATCTCATCCAGGCTGTAACATAACTTCTGGGCTGCTGCTTCTGTTCGGAGATCACCTCCGCGAGTCTGGCGTAGAAACATCTTGCACTTTACACTACTACTCTATAAAAGATGCTAATAATAATAATAATAATAGCTGGTGTTTTGTTTCTCAAAAGCACAAGTCTTCTTTAGAATTCACTAGCACTCAAAACACTACAAAGTCAAGGACTTGAGGATAAAAAAAAATGCTACAAAAAAGATCACCAAAAGCTCTACTATACAGCATATGTTATGGCCTTTTGGCAATAATGATATTATATGTTTGGTCAATTTACAAAATGCCCAGCATACTGACCTTTTTGTAAAATTACTTATAATCCTGCTGGCCTATTTGTAAAAAGTCCAAGTTTGTATATCATTGTAGAAGACATGGAAGACACATAGTGGTAGAGGGAGGTAAGGCCCAGTTCTCATGTGGAAGACATGGAAGACACATAGTGGTAGAAGGGGGCCCAGTTCTCAGAGAACATGGAAGACACATAGTGTAGGGGAGGTGAGGCCCAGTTCTCATGTGCTGTAGAGACATGGAAGACACAGTGGTAGAGGGAGGTGAGGCCCAGTTCTCATGTCTGTAAACACAACCCCAAGAACATGGAAGACACACAGTGGTAGAGGTGGGGCCCAGTTCTCATGTAGAAGACATGGAAGACACACAGTGGTATAGAGGTGAGGCCAGTTCTCATGTAAAAAAAACCTGAGACATGGAAGACACATAGTGGTAGAGGGAGGTGAGGCCAGTTCTCAATGTAGAAGACATGGAAGACACACAGTGGTAGAGGGGGGCCAGTTCTCACTGTGAAACATGGAAGACACAAGTGGTAGAGGCCCACCTGTAGAACATGGAACACAGTGGAGAGGTGAGCCCAGTTCTCATGTACTGTAGAAGACATGGAAGACACACAGTGAGAGAGACCACAAAACAAAACATAGTGGTGAGGGAGGTGAGGCCCAGTTCTCATGTACTGTAGAACATGGAAGCACACAGTGTACCAAGTGAAGACATGGAAGACACACAGTGGTAGAGGAGGCCAGTTCTCATGTACTGTAGAGACATGGAAGACACACAGTGGTAGAGGACCAGACATGAAGACACAAGTGGTGGAGGTAGGCCAGTTCTCATGAAGACATGGAGCACATGTGAGAGGTGGGCAGTTCTCATGTAGAGACATGGAAGACACACAGTGGTGGGGGAGGTGGGGCCCAGTTCTCATGTACTGTGAAACATGGAAGACACACAGTGGTAGAGGTGAAGGCCCAGTTCATGTCGTAGACATGGAAAACATAGTGGGAAGGGGAGAGGGCCCAGTTCTCATGTATGTGAAGACATGGAAGACACACAGTGTGGGGGGAGGTGGGGCCAGTTCTCATGTACTGTAGAAGACATGGAAGACACACAGTGGTGGGGAGGTGAGGCCCAGTTCTCATGTACTGTAAGACATGGAACACAGTGGTAGAGAGGTGAGGCAGTTCTCATGTACTGTAGAGACATGGAAGACACACAGTGGTGGAAGGTGGGGCCCAGTTCTCATGTACTGTAGAGACATGGAAGACACACAGTGGTAGAGGAGGTGAGATTCTCATGTAGAAGACATGGAAGACACACATGTGGAGGGAGGTGAGGCCCAGTTCTCATGTATGTGAAGACATGGGAAGACACACAGTGTTGGGGGAGGTGAGGCCCAGTTCTCATGTGTAGAGACATGGAAGACACAGTGAGTGGGGAGGTGAGGCCCAGTTCTCATGTACTGTGAAGACATGAAGACACACAGTGGTAGAGGGAGGTGGCCCAGTTCTCATGTAGAGACATGGAAGACACACAGTGGTAGAGGAGGTGAGGCCCAGTTCTCATGTACTGTAGAACATGAAGACACAAGTGGTGGGGGAAGGCCCAGTTCTCATGTACTGTAGAGACATGGAAGACACACAGTGGTAGAGGGAGGTGGAGCCCAGTTCTCATGTAGAAGACATGGAAGACACACAGTGGTAGAGGGTAGGCCCAGTTCTCATGTAGAGACATGGAGACACATAGTGGTAGAGGGAGGTAGCAGTTCTCATGAAACAAACACAAAGAGGTGAGGCCCAGTTCTCATGTACTGTAGAACATGGAAGACACACAGTGAGTGGAGAGGTGAGCCAGTTCTCAACTGAGAAGACATGGAAGCACATAGTGGTAGAGGAGGTGAGGCCCAGTTCTCATGTACTGTAGAAGACATGGAAGACACACAGTGGTGGGGGAGTGAGGCCAGTTCTCATGTGTACTGTAGAGACATGGAAGACACACAGTGGTAGAGGGAGGTGAGGCCCAGTTCTCATGAGAAGACATGGAAGACACAGTGGTGGGGGGGTGGGGCCCAGTTCTCATGTACTGTAAGACATGGAGCCTTGGGGAGTGAGGCCCAGCTCATGTAGAAGACATGGAAGACACACAGTGGTAGAGAGGAGCCCAGTTCTCATGCTGTAGAAGACATGGAGACACACAGTGGTAGAGGAGGTGAGGCCCAGTTCTCATGTACTGTAGAAGACATGGAAGACAGTGGTGGAGGCCCAGTTCTCATTGAAGACATGGAGCACACAGTGGTAGAGGGAGGTGAGGCCAGTTCTCATGCTGTAGAGAGACATGGAAGACACACAGTGGTAGAGGAGGTGAGCCATATGTTAGAACATGGAAGCACACAGTGGTAGAGAGGTGAGGCCCAGTTCTCAGTACTGTAGAGACATGGAAGACACACAGAGGAGGGTGAGGCCAGTTCTCATGTCAAGACATGGAAGACACACAGTGGTGGGAGGTGAGGCCAGTTCTCATGTACTGTAGAGCATGGAAGACACACAGTGTGGGGAGGTGGGCCAGTTCTCATGTGCAGGACATGGAGACACAAGTGGTGGGGAGGTGGGCCCAGTTCTCCATGTGCTGAGAGACATAGACATGGAAGGTGGGGCCAGTTCTCATGTGTAGAGACATGAACACACAGTGGTAAGGGAGGTGGGCCCAGTTCTCATGTAGAAGACATGGAGACACACAGTGGTAGAGAGAGGTGAGGCCCAGTTCTCCGTACAACAAACACACCACCAACAAAACAAACCCACCACAAACACACAACCAAAACAAAACAGGGAGGTGCCCAGTTCTCATGTACCTGTAAGAGACATGGAAGACACACAGTGGTAGAGAGGTGAGGCCCAGTTCTCATGTGAGAAGACATGGAAGACACACAGTGGTAGAGGGGGGAGGCCCAGTTCTATGTCTGTAGAAGACATGGAAGACACACAGTGGTAGAGGAGGTGGGGCCCAGTTCTCATGTGCTGTAGAAGACATGGAAGACACACAGTGGTAGAGAGTGGAGGCCAGTTCTCTGTCTGTAGAGACATGGAGACAAGTGGTGGAGGAGGTGAGCCCAGTTCTCATGTACTGTAGAACATGGAAGACACACAGTGGTGGGAGGTGGGCCAGTTCTCATGTGCTGTAAGAGACATGGAAGACATACAGTGGTGGGGGTGAGGCCCAGTTCTCATTGCTGTGAAGACATGGAAACACAGTGAGAGACACATAAACAAGTAGAGGAGGTGAGGCCCAGTTCTCATGTGCTAGAAGACATGGAAGACACACAGTGGTAGAGGTAGGCCAGTTCTCATTAGAGACATGGAAGACACACAGGAGAGGGAGGAGGCCCAGTTCTCTACTGTAGAAGACATGGAAGACACATAGTGGTAGAGGGAGGTGAGGCCCAGTTCTCATGTGAAGACATGGAAGACACACAGTGGTGGGAGGTGAGGCCCAGTTCTCATGTCAAGACATGGAAGACCGTGGGAGACATGAGAGACAGGAAACACACAGTGGTGGGGGAGGTGAGGCCAGTTCTCATGCTGAGAGACATGGAAGACACACAGTGGTAGAGGGAGGTGAGCCCAGTTCTCATGTACTGTAGAGACATGGAAGACACACAGTGTGGAGGGAGGTGGGGCCAGTTCCTGTGCTGTAGAGACATGGAAGACACACAGTGGTGGGGGTGAGGCCAGTTCTCCATGTGTGAGACATGGAAGACACACAGTGGTAGGGAGTGAGGCAGTTCTCATGTACTGTAGAGACATGGAAGACACACTCAGTGGTGGGGAGGTGGAGGCCCAGTTCTCATGTGAGACATGAGCACACAGTAGGAGGCAGTTCTCATGCTGTAGACATGGAAGACACACAGTGGTAGAGGTGGGGGCCCAGTTCTCATGTAGAAGACATGGAAGACACACAGTGGTGAGGGAGGTGAGGGGCCCAGTTCTCATGTACTGTAGAAGACATGGAAGACACACAGTGGTGGAGGTGAGGCCCAGTTCTCATGTACTGTAGAAACATGGAAGACACACAGTGGTAGAGAGTAGGCCCAGTTCTGTATGTAGAGACATGGAAGACACACAGTGGTAGAGGAGGTGGGCCCAGTTCTCATGTACTGTAGAAGACATGGAAGACACACAGTGGTAGGGAGAGGTAGGCCATTCTCAACAACCAAGTGGAGAGGAGGCCCAGTTCTCATGTTGAGAGACATGGAAGACACACAGGTGGGGGAGGTGGGGCCCAGTTCATGGATGGAAGACACACAGTGGTGGGGAGGTGGGGCCAGTTCTCATGTACTGTAGAGACATGGAAGACACACAGTGGTGGGGA